TTGAGGACGATCGGATGGCGTCCTGAAATCGAAATGAACAGAGTTGATAATTTTCTCTTCAATCCCGCTATTTACGGCTTGGCAGAGCGATAATTGACTGAGGTAAAGGTATCTGAGACAGTTGAAAAAGAACAGATCAGAAATGTCTTGAGCCAGACACCAAAAAGAAACCATTTCAAGACAAATGGGGTCTGAAGAACTGTATTTCAGAAGAAAAGCAATAAATTCCAAATAATTACCCACAGTGAATGACAAAATTAATGGTTTAGTGAGCGGATTATTCACGAAATCAGGTGGATATGTAGAAATCAGACAATGGGCTGGAACCCGCTACACGTTTTCCCATCCAGCTCGAGCCAAATCCCGTGACGCTTTAGTTTGATTTTGCAAATCTTGATCAAGAAATGAGGTGTTGCATTCACGTTGCTTCGCAGTTGACCGTCGTAATATTATTATAACGACCTTGTCAACTTGCCAGTCGGTTTGAGTGAGTTGTGTTGAAGTCTCACTGGACCACTTGGTTCATGGTGTCTGCATTTTCCTATCTCACAGATTGTCAGTCAACCCTCTCTATTGAGAACCTCCTGTCTGTCGACGGTTCTAGCCTACACCTATACTCAGCCCACTTGCGGTTGTCTGGTTCATTCGTTCACGGGGGACGTCCTGCCGTACACGCCAGCCAAGCATATCATAGTATCAAATACCGCACCATATATTGATTGGAGTGGGTTTAAACGATGTGCCCCTGTCATCAAACCATTTGGCACATCTCATAAAGCTTCAGTATTTTCAGTAAACCAGTGTTCATGTGTTGAATAATAAGCGAATTAAAGAATTAAAAACGCTTACCTATTTGAATTTACAGAAAATTTCTTCCAGCGGATTAAAAAGGGAATGTTTGGTGGAAGAATTCGAATTTGTTAGCTGCCATGTAACTGCGTATCTAAAGCCTTCCGATGAACGGGCGCATTGTCTAAGACAAGAACAAGTGGAACACCCGTTTTCTCAGCAGCGATTACCGTGGAGAAGCTTGATAGAAGCCCATTGAAAACATGTCAAGTAATCTTTCATATTTCAAGATACCGGAGGCAGATGAACATACTATCGTGTTTAATCTAGGTCCTTTGCTGAATGGGAGGCAATGAAGGGCTTTACGGTCAACCTTGGAGCATCTAAAGCCACGACAGCACCATATATTGTAGTTGGTCTCGTCAATATACAGTCTCAGTTTTGCGTTATTCGATCGCTGTAACCTATCGGCATATTCCGCTCCTTTTACCTTCACAGTTTTCGAGTTCCGTTCCACGGGTTGGATGGTTAGCTTCTTAACCGAATAATGGCTTCCATTCGGAAATCGATCATCCAAGTTCTTATTGATCGATGTGCCCGGGAATTCTTCCATTCTCTCCTTTACCTGATCTCATCGACTAGATCACACAAATGTTTTGTGCACTGGTCGTTGAGTTTCGCCTTGTAAGATCCAGGTTTGAGTGTTGTTTCCCAATCCGTGGATGCAATAGCACATGTTTTGATCTCAGTGCTAAGGTGTTTGACAACGTCTTTCAATTTATGAACTTTGCGTATACATTCAGTTATTTCCGTCGAACTTCCGCGCTGGTGAAGTGATGGGGCCTTTTAGCCCATCCGATTTAACGTTCTCCATATTTTAGATGTGGTGTTTTTATAGTCTCATTACCAATGAACCAAGTACCGCATAACGGTACCATAAGGGAAATCTAAAATGCACTACTTCTATAAGTAAATATCCTAAACGTAAAACAAACGGTACATCGTTTTGCATTCAAAAGTCATGAAAAAAATCAAAAAGGTAAACGCTTACCGTTCCGTATCTTAACTTAAATTGACCTCCGTTCGTGGCTGACAAGTACACCAACATGCAAAAGATAATAAACCGTTCACAAAAGTAAACTCGGATTACTATCACCAGTTTATCGACGCTGCAACTTTTGACACAATTACGACGATCAAGGCTCAGAAAGGGCTGGGTTTAGCTAAATATTGATGGGAAAACGTGCACTAACGGGGGTGTCTTTTTTGAAAGCTATTAACTATCACTGGCCTGACAATGTATCCACATTTCAAGAATGGAGTTCCATCTAGGTGGAGATAAGGAACAGTAAGTATTCGCTTTTTCGGTATCACTTTTTGATTTATTTCAGGGTTTTTGAACGTAAAACAAAGTACTGTTTGTGTTGCATTCGATATTTTTAATTACAGGAGTATCGCATGCAATGCGGAGGCACTCAAGCCATACGAGATATGCCAAATGGTTTGATGATAAGAGCTCATCATTTCAACCTACTCCAATCAATATGTGGTGCGGCGTTTGATACCATTACGAAGGTCAACTGCCAAGCATGCGATCACCACACCTTATCACTTCTTAACCAAGATTTACAATATCAACATTTCATATTTCCTCGGAAACAAACAACTGCCACACGCCACAAGTGAGAGGGACCTGGGTATCATCATTCAAGAAAACTTAAGCTGCTCACACAACTGCACCAAGGTGTTCAACGCAGCTGTAAAGAATGTCGGCTTGCTTAAGCGGGTCTTCGGCCGGTTTGAGTCA